CTCTTTCATGTATGTAATTTTTAATATATATATATATTTCTTAACCAATTCCTTACTCGGTGTCCCAAGACACTGGTTAGCAAGACTCGGTTATTAAATTTTGACGTAAATCCCTTTTTATCTGTATTGTAAGGATTCAATTATATGATTTTTTTCTTTAGTTCATGTAATTAAACATAATTTATTCCAAATATATAAACTTTATTTTCTTTTAATCTTTATAATTTCATAAATTTTATCTTTTTAATCTTATAGTAATAGGTAATATACACTAAAAAAAATAAAGAATTTTAAATAAAATGCTTTTAACCAGAATGAATAAAATGTAAAGTTGATAATAGTACATGTTGAAAAGGTATTTAAACCTTAAACTTTTGTTTTCTTTGGGAGTTGGGACCATATTTAAGGGGTAAAAAGAGAAAAGTGCAGTGGAAGGAGAGAGAAAAAGAAGAGTAAAAAGTCAAATCTTTAAAAACTCACCATTCAGCGTATAACTGTTAAAAATCTTTGGCAGCAATATTAAATCTGAAGATTTATAATTATTTAAATTTGCACAAGAAATATTTACTATTTAGCATCCAAAGAAAGGAACAGTGGAGAGTTGAGATAGATGAGTAGATTTTAGTTGGATAATTGAATCTCCTCACTGGGCCACGTCTCGTAACATAGATCATAGATGCCAACCTTTGCAATGCCAGTTGCCATTAGCATCAGCATGGGGGCAATGGCAATTCAATTGTAGCCTTTTATCCTTCCTACCCCATGTGCTTAAAGCAACCCTTTCCTTTCTATGTTCCCTCCACTTTTTTAATCTCTCATCCCTTTTCGTTATTACTCCTCTTAGTCTCCCCACACAATTCACACATCGACCAAATCTAACTCTCTTTTATCTGTCCCCCACACCCCTCCTATCCCATTCTCAACAAACACAACTATTCATCATGTTCACCTCAAATCAGAGGGACAACTTCCGCTTGTTCATGTAGTCTTATTCAGCTTTTAATAACAGAAAAAAAAAAAAACATTTTTATTTTAGGAGTTCAGGCAATTGGTGTTGCCATGAGGGAGTTTCCTTCTTGTTTTGGAGAAAATGGGGTTCAGGTTGCTGACTCATCCTCATCAAGCACCACAAGAGCATCTCAAAATGTGGTTACTTGTGTCTACCAGTGCAAACTAAGAGGCCGTTCTTGCTTGATTACAGTCTCCTGGACCAAAACTCTGATGGGTCAAGGCTTGAGTGTGGGAATTGATGACTTGGGGAACCATTGCCTCTGCAAGGTTGAGATAAAGCCTTGGCTCTTCTCAAAGAGGAAAGGGTCCAAGAATTTGGAGGTCCAATCTGGTAAAGTTGACATCTTTTGGGATTTGAGTTGTGCCAAGTTTGGTTCAGGGCCTGAGCCATTGGAGGGGTTCTACTTGGTGGTTGTGTTCAACAAGGAGATGGTGCTGCTCCTAGGGGATCTGAAAAAGGAGGCATGCAAGAAGATTGAGAGTGATTGTGATTTTTCTCACTGTGATGCCGTTTTCGTTGCAAAGAGAGAGCACATTTTTGGGAGGAAGTTTTATGGTGCAAAGGCTCAGTTTTGTGACAAGGGGCAAGTGCATGATGTCACAATTGAGTGTGACACTGTGGGGCTTAACGATCCCTCTCTTGTGATTCGGATTGATAGCAAGACAGTGATGCAGGTAAAGCGTCTCAAGTGGAAATTCAGAGGGAATCACACCATTTTGGTGGATGGGGTTCCGGTTGAAGTGTTTTGGGATGTGCATAGTTGGCTCTTTGGGAATGCTATGGGAAATGCAGTGTTCATGTTTCAAACATGCATTTCAAGTGACAAGCTTTGGGAAGGTCAATCAGTTTCTGATCCCTCTGCAATATCATGGACTTCTTCTCAGCAGTTTAGGGATTCCCAGTTGCAAGGCTTTGGCTTCTCTTTGATTTTGTATGCTTGGAAACATGAGTAGTGTTAAATCTTATTCTTCAATGTTAAATTTATATTGACATGCAGCCACAATGAAACTGATAAACTTGCCCCTTTTTCTCATCTTGATCTTACATAAATACATACATACGCTTTGTTTGATTTTACTATAACTTTTGCAATCTCTTGTCTTTATTCCAGAATCCGTTGCCAGAAATTGTTTTTGAACATATTCTAAATGGAATTTCTGAACGGCATCACTGTCAAGAATGATCTCCCGTTTCCAAATGAGAAAAAAAATACATAGCAATGTTGTTGGATTTTTATTTGTCTTGATTCTAAAATTAAGCACAAGCATTTAAATTTTGATGCAGGGATAAGCCCTTTAAGCCTTTGGCGATGGACTAATATGAAACATGGTGTGTAATACATGTTGCTCGATATAACGTACAAGTGTACCACAGATTGAAAGAAGTGCTGGATAGATGACAGCTACTATTAGCTGCTGATTAAGTTAGTAGTTTTATTTTTTCATAGATCCAAGGAACAAGTATCAATGCTAATCTAATACTCAAGCAAGTGAAGACCATGTCAAATATTTTTAAACACACACCAGAGAGAGAGTTGTCAAGTCGAGGAGACATGTCTCTGAATTCTATGATCTCCCAGCCAATTTACATTAACGTGACTGAATGCCTCGACACCGTCTATTATGCAGTTGAATATGAAAATTCATGTAGAGGCAGACAGGAGAGGAAAAACTGAGCACAACTTGGATGATAGGAATAGTACAAATAAATGATTCTTCCCGGGACAAGATGTCTCTACCGCTACCGTTTGTAACTCTTTCAATTTTTTTCTTCCTGAATGTAGAGATTATTGAAATGAAATTTGTTTTTAGACTAATTATTTTTCAACTGATAGTCTATTGATTATTTTTAAAACATAAAGATTATTAAAATGAGTTTAATCTCCCTTAATATAATATTCTATATACTCATGGTCAGAAAATTGAACGTTTATGTAGATGTTTAAGAAATGAAAACTTTCACCACGCTGTGAAATCATTTTTGAATATGCTTGACAGGTTTTGAAACAATTATCTTGCTTCCTAGTGTAGTCTCTGCTGTTTTTGTTTTCATTTTCATTCCAAATAATTTATGTGATACATAAGAATAATCTAGAGTTTAATAATTCTTATAAAGGATAGATTCATCTCCTGTCATAATGGCCAATCTTCGGTAGAAGAGAAGATTTCTCGAAATACTTACTTATTTCTATTAGTTTGGGATCATCAATAAACTTTTTGAACTTTATTAACCGAAGAAATACTACAAACTTTTCTAATTTTATCGATATTGAACAAACTTTTGATACTTGCTCTAACTTTATGAAACATTATATTATATCACCGTATCTAAATTTTTCATACATAAATTAACCAAATATCTCCGTTTGAAAGTATTTCTCCATAATAGCCATGAAAGAGTTGCTCCGGAATTGCCAAATAAGGATTAAACGCTCATTCGTAATGAACCCATTTGATCAATTAGAACTTTAGTGATCTCAGAAACCTACCGAATTTTCATAAGCTATGAAGATGTTACATTAAAACTAATTTTAAGATTTACAATATCCATTTATGTTATATTCTTTTTTATTTGAGAAATTAATGGGCCCGTTCATCCAAAAAATATGGAGGAAAATTACAAAAGAAAAATACTTGCTTCATACCACTACTTGGCTACTTGCGTATCATTACTTTCTCACATCACTTCACGTTTAAAATTCTTTCAGGACCAGTTACGAGTAAGAAAAAAAAAAGAGTTGTAAACTGTTTAAATTGCATTATTTGCAAGAAAATTACAATTTTCGCTACTTCAGAATCTGGGAAATTATCACCTAATGGGGCACAAATAATACAAAAAGAATAGTGGAGTAATTTGTTTAGGTAGCCGTAGCACAAAACTCATACTTTACAACTTTCACATTACTGACAATGTATAATATTCAAAATGTTCAGAAATGTGATGACTCCGACTATAACCAACTGATGAAAACTATATCTACAAACAAAAGATAAAGAGGGAAATATTGCCAACATGAGATCAACATGTATGTGTAATAGTGTTTAATATGGAAAATAGACATGCATAGGCACGTAGTTGAAATCTAGAAGAAAGAAGACTTCCCCATACAGTTTCATATAATTCAGGAATCCTGCACCCAAACCCTCACAGTTCTATCACCTTGGAGACCAGCGGAAGCAATTTTGTTCTCTTTTGGGTGACTAGTAACAGATATAACAGTATCTGTATGGCCTTCAAGTCTTTGCATCAAACTCTTCTGCTGAAGATCCCATAAATAAACACAGCCATCTTCAGAACCGCTAACAATATATCTCCCATTAGTCACAGAAAACGTGGAAGTTATGCAGTATACTCTATTCACATGCCCGACATAAATTTTTAAAAACTTCCCAGACGAAAAGTTCCATAGCTTCTGCATCCAGAAAATTTATCTTGTCAGGGAAATTACCAAAGAAAACCACCAATCTGATAAACTAACATGCTACATTAACTGAAAGGGAGTGCTAATAAATGTCCCTACTAGGACAGTGGTTAACCTAAAGTATTTTTTTATTTATTCAGAAAATGTAAACAATATACTCACATCAATGATTTTCAATTCATTGTTCACAATGATATCTAATAAAAGAATTCTATTTATTGATTTTTTTAACCAGTGTACTTAAGTTGCTCATGTGCAGAACGCTTAGCTTAATGATACAAAAAAGGAACAGTACTTTGTTTGGACAAATTTCTCAACAAGCACTTTTAAAAAAACATAAATAAGAAGGTTTCTATTAAGTTACAATTAAACTATGCATAAGTTAATTTTATAGAAGCTCTCTTATTTATCTTTTCCAATGCTAATTTTAACTTTTGATAGATGCTCAACTCGGTTAACTCTTTATTTTCTTTTCCTATTATCATATAAGTGCTTGTTGAACCAGAACCTAGAAGTATCTGTTTCATCAACCCAAGAACTCAGATAAGATCATAAATGTCAAGTTTCTCCAGCCTAGATTTGCAGAAATGACCAATTCCTTATCCCAATACTTACTTATATAGTTGAAGCAGATAAAAGAGAGAGAGAGAGAGAGAGAGAGAGAGAGAAGAAACTGACGAGTGTGTCATTGAGAGTGGCAGCGAGAATGAACTTTCCATTGGGGGAGAATTTGGCGAAGGAGACGGCGGGGACGGTATCATCAATGAGGGCCTTCATGAGTTTACCGGACTCGGAGTCCCAGATCTTGCAGGAGCCGTCGTGGCTGGCGGAGAGGATGAGGTTGCCGTCGCGGTTGAAGTGGACGGAGGTGACGGGCATGGTGTGGCCGGAGATGACGAGGAGGCATTTTCCGGTCTTGACCTCCCAGAGCCTGATGGTCTCGTCGAAGGAGCCGGAGACGATGCTGCTGGACTGCGTGTTGAAGTTGACGCAGAAGACGGCGTGGGTGTGGCCGCGGAGGATCTTGACGCAGTCGCCGCCGGTGGCGTCCCAGATGCGGATGGTGCAGTCGTCGGAGGCGGAGCAGATGTAGTGGGAGTCGAAGGACCAGGCGAGGTCGGATATGCCGGCGGAGTGGCCGACGAGGCGGTGGAGGAGGGAGAGGGTGGCGGAGGACCAGACGATTAGGGTTTTGTCGAGGGAGGCGGAGGCGAGGAGGTTTCCGTCGTTGGAGAATTTGACGCAGGAGACGGCGCTTTCGTGGTCGGTAAGGGTTTTTAAGTGACGGTACGGTTTGTATGTTTGGTTGCCACCGCTGCTGTTGCTCGTCGCCATACAATCAACCTCTACCTCTATCACTACCCCGCTTCCCTCCGCGCAACCTACAATTTATACACAAATTCCTGTAATCATCCGTTTGCTCAGATTGTAATTTTTTATTTTTATATAAATACGTAAAATTAATTATGAATAACAATATATATTTAAATGATTTTGTATTATATAAATATTTGTTTTAAAATTTATAATATTAATGAATATATCTGTGTTTATATATAATTTTTATTTATTTTTATTGATAGATATAGGAGATACTCAATTTTTTATATATTTTTTTTCGTCTTTATTTTGTTAAGATATTTTTGTCTTAACTTTCTACTTACTCAAATATAATAAATATTCTTATTTTTATTATACTTTTTTGGTATTCACAATAATTCGGGTAATACTGTAAGTTTTAATTATTATCTTTTAACAATAACTGTGTGCGAAACACTTAAGGTGTGTTGTGAAATTTAGAAAGTTGAGAAATTCTTAAGAGTTTGATTTGTTTTGAGGATTTTTTGTCACAGGTCTAGTTAACCCTGGTGAAAAGTAGTATATATGATTTTTATTAAGAATTGAGTCTTATAAGTTCATGTTTTTCAAAACCTAGAGAGAGAATTCTAAAGAGAAAGGCTATAGTTTCTAATCCTTCTTCTTCTTTCTAGATTTCTCAAAGTAGTAGGCGATCCTTATAGATCAATGGAATGATGATTCAAGCAGTTGAAGCTATGAATCAGAGTAAATACAATGTTGTGCAAAGTCCCTAGAAAGCTTCTATTCTTCCTTTTCTTTCTCAAATTGTGAGATTTGGAGGTAAAGGAAATTAGGATTGGTTTTTGGTATGTGATTTGTTGATTGCATGATGTTTCTTTCATCTAATGCGGTTGTATAGTTGAGATTTTTGGATGCTTGGATAGAAGGGGGTGGGGTTTTATGTTTTTGATTATGAAGGTGAACTGGGTGAATTTATCCCATATGTGGTTGCATATGTGTTTTGGGTGTGGATTTGAGCCACTTATGATGCATATTTGTGTTTTGGTATATTGCATGTATGGTTTGGTTGTTTTTCAAGTGGATTGAAGCAATTTTTGAGGTCTACAATTGCAAAACTTTAATGTTGTGTCAAGTGTGCCTACAAACAAGGGTTTATATTCTACTCACATCAAGTGCATGATTAGTGGTGTCGAGCATGAGAAGAGAGACTTGTCTCAAGTTGAAATAGAGCCGAGCATGGTTTGAATGATGCTAAATGTGAGGTAAGAGAATTGTCTCTGCTTGGATTGGTGCCTAGCGTCAAAGGAGTGGCATTAGGAGTGAGGATAGAGAATCATCTCGAGTTAGCATGAGGTTGACGTGGGATTTTGCCACGTTGGGCATGAGATCCTAAGGGTTCCTTACCTCATTCACGCTAGGCACGGGTTGAGTGGTGTCAGACATGGGCGAGATAGAGGATTCCATGTCTTGATGACACCATACACAAGGTATGTTGCATTCGGATAGATTACCTTATGGATGCTTGTTGCTTGGTGATTTGTATGGTGAACATGGATAGAATTGTTAACTCTATTACATGTTGTATGCATGATGATGGTAGTTTTATATATATTGATCTAGGATGATATATGTAGATGTTTGTATGGTTGAATTGTTGTTAAGCATTGGTATGCTATACTTGATTGAGATGTTGAGCATTGGTATGCTATAATGGAATGGTGCAATTTGATCTCTATATGCATTGACTTGAGGTAATGAATATAGAAGATGTATGTTGAGTTGTTGATACTAAGAATGTTGTGAACATTAAAACATATTAATTGACTTAGGATTAAAGGAAATGTGTTATTTTTGAAAGTTGAAGATCCCATGTAAGGAATCTTGTTGTGGCACCTTGGGAGGCTAGTTGTTGAAAACCCTTCTTGAGTATGTGTGAAATTCTTGGAGTGGATTCTGTTGAGTCTCCTCTAAGTCCTTAGTCAATGTTCGAGTAAAGTACAAAGTTGAAGGCTACCACCCTTAACTAATTATTGGAAAGGTTGTGTGATTCTTTGAGGATAGTTAGTGGATTAATTTTATAAGTGACTTGGTAATGTATATCAAGATTATGGTACACCTTTACCCAACCATACTAGTCTTGACGGTGAAATTGAACTTTTCTAATGTAAGTGGCTATACTTGAGAAATCAGATGAGGGATTGGTATCCCGTTATAATTTTGATCTAATAGACACATCGAGTGTGAAAATGATCGAGGTTGGTTTGATAGGATCAAGCCACTTAAATTATTTAGGTGTGTTAAGAGATCTTCATAGGTGAATATGTGACCACACACTAGTTGTGGTGTGAGTTGATATTGTTCATATGTATAATATGAATACCTTGTTGTATTATATGATTGTGGTGAATGTTTGAATTGCTTGGATGTTTAACTTTCAATTATGATTGTTGCATGATGTGAACCATGAAATGATGTTTAGTTTACATGTGGATGTACAGTATGAATGTTTTCTTTATGTACTTGTATTTTTAAAAATTTCAATTTATCCTTACTTGTTTTCCTTGTGATTGAGACTCTGATGACATATTTAGTATGAGGGCAAGGTATGGATAAGCCTGTAGAGGTGTGCAATGAAAACCATTTGGCAGATGATGACCTTTGGTTGTCTTGATGCTACTTTTGAGTAATTTTGTATATATGACACTTAGATTATATATTCGACTTTTACTAGATTACTTACATATTTAATTTATATTAGTATGACCATTTCACCTTTATATGTATCCAAGTAATTGTGAATGTTTAATTCTAATCAGTTTAATTTTTGTCGCTAGTAAGTAGACGGCTTGTAAATGTGATGATCATGGCATGTTGTTACACATGATTGTTGAACAGTTATTTTATTACACAATTTATCCACTACTTATGGTTATACCCACATAGACATGAAGTATATTGGGGCTTTTCGACTTTAATAAATAGTTATGTTCTCATTGACACTTATGCGTCTCCTAACCTCTTTCTCCAGTTAAGCTCTCTTGAATCTCTTCTTCCCTACAAGCTGTTACTCTGTGGCATACCGACTTTGACGTCATAATCTCTAGAGTAGCACACCTTCCGCCAACAATCTTGACGACACTGCCAAAATATCTACTTGTTTGACACGGTCTTTCTGGCATAATATTTGATAAACTAATTTGTTTCTCCTTACTCATATTTGCAAGTGGTACTGGAATGTTACAAATATTAAATTAAATGCGGTTACAGGACAGTTCAATATTCAATTACAGAAAAGTTTTGCGCCCCATGAACAGAGAAAACGTTGGCTGTGGTCGTAGTATTAGCTTGCTAGACAGGGCACAAAATACATTGAAAATCTTTTGCACATTTGATTTGAAACATAAATCCATAGATATATGGACGAATTAGTGCAGATTCCTTTTGCTAAATGAGAGGATAGGAAATGAAGGAAGGGTCCCTCGCAGCACCGATCCAACCTGGCTGCATAAAGGCCGACAAGAAAACTGATACTAACCTCCAATCGTCTCCAGATTGAAAATTCCACTTCAATGAAACAAGGACAAAATGAAAGTCAAAGAAAATCCACCGTCCAGTCTAATATCCTGACCTATCCTTCCTCAGCAGCTCCCCTAAATCATAAACCACAATCATTAGGAAATGAGACAGATGAACAAAACATGCAAAATAAAAATTAGATTAAGGAAGCAGACTGCAAACTCTTCAAGACTGACTTCGATATATCAAGTTATACCATCCATTTTTTTTTATAAAATCAAGGTGGCACAAAATGTTATCGCGAGTTTCCAACATGGGATATGCAAAAGACTAGATGCAACTCGTCACATGTCAGCCGTGGAATTCACCAAAATATTTTAATATCTGTTGTAAACCTTTCAAACTTGTTTATAGGAGCTCAAAGTGAACTTACAATACAAAGCTAATCAATCTATCCTTAAAAAAAATTAAATAGAAACAAATTAAGTAAATTCCTAAATTAGTCCTTGAAATAAACGTTGGTCACTTTTTTCTAAATCCTCATATATTAGTCTGACTTTGTAAAAAGTCGTTCACTTTCGTTTTTCTCCATCTCATTTTTCATTGTCATTAAGAACAAACGAGAATGATTTTTTACAAGTAAAGGGATAAACGAGAGTGGTCTAAAATAACAGATGTTAACAATTTCAAGGACTCATCTAGGAATTTACTAAATAAATTTCTAGGGCAATCATATTCTACACACGTGTGTGCACACAAATAGAGAGAGAGAGTACCATGTTCACGAAATTTTTGACCTATTTAATTAATGCCGTACAATGAGCACCCCCTAGACGGACAAGAAGTCTATCTCTTCTGAACTTTCCTCAAAAATCACATAGCTTGCATCTTGATCATCCTCATTACCACTACCCTGATCACTATTGTAGCTGCTTTCAGATGTACTTAAAAAAATCAATCCATCTGAACTATGAAAGCTCAATTGTGACGGAAGACTAATCTCGCTGTTCATATCAGTATCAAATGACTCCATGTAACTGCAACACATCCAGAAACACAAAAGTACACAACTTAAAAAAAAAAACCCATCTGTGAATGTAGACAGTGCATCAAGTTATTCTATCAGAAATATATCGAACCTTCCTTCCGATGGATATTCAGCCACCAAACACATGTCAGGTCTTGTTTCCAAAACCTGCTTTATAGGAATCATAATACTGCACCGAAGAACCCAATCAAAACATCAGTTAATCAAGAAACTTGGAACCTGAGAAAATCAAATTTTTGAATCATAATTATTACCTAGAGTTGAAGCACCTGTGATACCAATCACCGTCAGATGCTAAGCCTTCCCTATTGGATATATCCTGTTTAAGGGCAATAGTAAGAAATAGAAGCAAAGCTGGAAATCGAGCAGAAACATCATTCATTATTTTCAACAATGTAACATATTTCTATGTACCCACAAGATGTACAAGCAATTTGAAATCGCCAGCAACAATTGCAGTCAAAAACCTAGCAACTTCCATCTGCACATCAAGGTATTAATTAGCATTTAGAGAAAAGCAAAAAATTGTATATTAATTACTATTCTCACCTCTTTCAGATGCATGCAATCCCTTAAAATTAAAACCTCCAGAAAATTCCCACCATTGGAGCTTCCAAGGTTTCTGTAAAAAAAAAAAGGATTTTAAATTAAGAGATAATAGGGGACCCAAAACAGATGGAAATAAATAATTACAAGAGATGGATGGAATGTAAAAGGTTAATGTGACGTATTGTTAATTGTTAATAATAACTAACCTTAAGAAGCTTCCAGTTATTGAATAGGATGTAGAAAAATCAACATATTTAAGTTTCTGAAATCCCTGCATGAATAAGTTTTTAAAACTATAATGTGCACAAAAAATGGTGGCTCCAAATCACACATCAACAGAAAACGAAGACAATAAGCATGCCCTTACTTTCTCAGAACAGGCATCTCAATGCAGTGATATGTGATGATTATTATTTAGATAAACCATATTTGCTTACCAACCAACTCATATCATTGTATTATTGTAAAGCCTTCATACAAACTATAACACTCCAAGAAGACTAGCAAGCTGGAAATTGCAAAAGTCCACTAACTCCCTTTAAACTGAACTCAAGCTGGTGTTTTGGGTGCAAAAAATGCAATCGTAATATAACAATTCATATATAGCCAGCTTTTACTTGAAGCATCATTCCACTCTCAACTCACCCCCTTTTGCTTATGCCTTAACAAATTACTAAGAAAAAAGCAGAAATTAAGCACACTATATATTAAGGAGAAAATTTTAATAAAAAAAAATTTAACACCACAAATTTGACCTAGGATTAACAAAAGACTGCAATAGTTATTAATTTTCTGAGAACATACCTTAACCAGTACACGAACTTTATAATCATGTAGCTTAAAGCCTCTAAGAGATAAAGAAGTTAGGTGAGGACAATTGTTCACTAGCTCCTCACATGTTTGTGTTTTCAAACTGTCATCTCTACCTGATAATTAAAAACAGATAAGCAGATATATAAAGAGAACTATATGACAAAATAAAGCAAGAAGATGACTTACCTGTTTTAGAAGACTCAAAAAACAAACGCTCAATCAAGTGGCAGTTCGCACTTACTGACATTAATGTTTGCCTCAATTCAACATGACTAGCATTTAAAAGAAAAAGACAAAAAAATCACTCCCAATAGAAGATATGATTTGGAAACAATCTTTTTATACGAAATAAATTATTGAAAAGCATATCAAATAGACACAGAGGCTGATACATATTAAAAATTAAGGGGATAAGTGAGTATCAGAAATGCAACTGAAAAATGAAACAGTTTTTAATTAAAAAATTGTATCTCCAGCATATTCATATCAATTATAATAATAAAAATAAATAAAATTGCAGCCATAATGTATAAGAAAAGAAAAAGATTCCCAGTTCAACTAGACAGGTGTAATTTAGGCAAGTGTCAATTCAGGATAAGAAGAAAGTAAGCTTGTTTTACAGAAAAAGTTCCATTTTCCTCATGTTTAAGGCATCTAATCAATGACATATCCATTAGCAGTAAGAAAATGCTTATAAGGAAATGAAGTGAAAGCAGGAGAGGTGAAGGAAACTTACAGCCCAACAATTTCTAGATCAAGCAAGGAAGGGCAAGCTGATAATGCTCCGCCAAGTGACGCATTGTCCATTCTTTCAATATTGTACAAGTTCAACTTTCTCAAAAGGGCCCTGGAAAAGGAAATGTAAGATTGCATTTAAAACAAGTAGCCCAAATGAGCCAAATTCTAAAGTCCATGAACTACATACCCTGGAGCACCACCATCCCTACTTAAAGGGCTTAAACAGGATCTTGTGAGAATGGAAGATTCTCTTCCCTGTCTAGATCTCCTATCATTCCATGAGAAGTTAGATACCTCTACAATTGCATTGCCGATGGTACAAAGCAATGGTTGAGATCCAGGTAAAACAGTAGCACCGGGGATTACACCAAGCTTAAGAGACCTTATTCACAAATTAAAATATATGGATGGGTGAGGATAAAGAGTTTAAAATACATAAGAACGTGACACATTGTTCAACAAGTTAGAATAGTTTAAAATGGATCTAGTTAAACACTTTTTTGTCTTTTCCTAGCTGATAGGGATAACCTTGCTTACATAAATAAATTTACATAAAACTAGTTACACAAAAATGTCTAACAGGGGCAAATAAAATGTGGAAACAATGCACCATCCAAACAATTAATCAATATGCCAACAAATGATACCCCACCCCCCCAAAAAAAAATAAAGCAGGAAATGATCACCTGAACTAATCTAGTTTTTCTGTTATGTAAACCTTGTTCAAGTTCCGACTCCCGTATAGGTAGTTATTTTCCAGCTGTATAGCTAATTAGCTGTTCCTTTCTAGGATTTCTATTTGTATATATTTTATCAACGCATGTACTCTGAATGAACGCAATACACACACCGATAGTTCCTACAATTAGTAGTCATATTGTTATAAATTATAACTCATAAATACGCTGCTAATGAGAGTTCACTTAGGGAAAAAAGTAAATATAGCACGGAAAGGGCGAGGCCAGCGAAACACAAAACTTCCTACCTTAGTGCCTTTCCTGCTCGCTGAATCATCGTGGAAACTACTGAATTGTTAATCTTCGGAACAATCGTAGTCAAATCAAGATTTGCATAGCACATAGGATCTTTAGCACATTTGTTAAAAAACGAACAAGTAGCCGACGCATAGCACAGGCTCTGCGTATCAAGCATAGAGAAAACCTGCAGCACATCACAACAAAATATTAACATCCACAAACTTCACTTCCTTACAGAAGCACAATATTAAACCTAAGGACCAAATTAGTTCCAGATACTGAAACAATAAACAGTAAACAGTGCGACAATATGAACACCATATCACCAATACCGTGAAATAAAGAGAAATAACCTCCAATTAAGAGCAAACAAAATTCACAAACGAAATAAAAAATGCATCAATCAACCTTGATGGTGAGGTCGGGAGGGAGAGGCCACGCGAGGAAATTGTGCCTCGAAGCACGCTTCCTAGAAGAGTGCTTGGCTGCATCGAGAAGCGTGGACGCCATTTTGAGCGCGCGATCGATGAGGACCGTCCGATCGGAATCGGAGGGCGACGATTCCAGAAGCATCTCGAGGGAGAGATCGAGGGAGAGAGAAGGGGAGTCGGCGAGGCCTAGGAATGCACTGAGGAGATGCTCCACCTGCTTCGGCTTCTCCGTTCTAGGGTTTTGCGACGGACACGCTCTCTTCGCCGCCGTGGACGACGGACCTTCCAGCGCGAAACTATTCGTAGCCATAGCTGCTGGCTGCTGGCTGG